GACAAAAATTAAAAAAAAAATTTAAAAAATCAAAGGAATAGAAGAAAGATACATAATCTTCCATCTGACCATGCATTTTCTATCCAATTTCACCTCTGCAATGCTAAGCAATAAGCTGGAAACCAAAGGTCACACAATTTGACAGACACAGCACCTCGCTGGGCACTCTTCCTTTCTACAGGATCTATAGAACAGCTCTTCAGACACTGTCCTTTAGCAGCTATTCTTTGGCAGAAAACAGAAGTAATTAAATTTAAAAAATTCTAAGCATCATGGGTAGTTTAGATAGTTCTTCAAATAGAATAGTTCCCATCCCTGCCCCTTAGTGTTACTTAACATTACTTACTTTGGTAGAGCCCTCTTGATCTCCTCAAACACTACAATATATGGGTTTTGGTATGATTTTTAAAGCAGTGTGATCTAATTTCAGCACATGCCAGGAAACTGAGTAACACTCAGAAAAACTAAAAGGACATCTATGAAAATCAAAGTAAAGTGTCGTAAGTCAAAGCACATTAAGGTCCTGGCAACAATGTTCTTCCTGGACCGCAGCCAGCTGCATCAAATTAAGACTTTTTACCTCTAGTGGAGACTATGGTCATTACTTCCATGAACACTTCTGCAACAACCAAACCTCATGAGCACTGAATATAACCACACCCAGTCATGTTTGCACTGCACAGGGAGAATGGGTCAGAGAATTCAGGGCAATCACTGATCAGCCCTGCTCCTCAATACAGCACAGCTACATCTGCAGGAGCATTGCATACAAACTAAGAAGTTTTGCCTGACTGGCTCAACAAAGCCTACTTGCCCCAATGCAGCACTGGCCTAAACAGCTCCACTGCTCCTGGGCTTAAACCTCACACTCTATACATTGACATGCTGTGCCTCATCAGTGACAACTTAAACCAACATCAGCTTGGATTCACTCCCCACAATACACTTTCACAAAAACCCACAGACTTTCTTAATAACAGGTATCCACATCCTCCTCACAGCATAGGACAGATAAGAGTAGCAGATCTCCCTCAGTATCTGCATAGAAATCTTAAGGCAACGAGACATCTTCTGCTCCTTCCTGTAGATGACAGTGAAAACATGCCTGGTGTATCTTGGTGACCACTCAACAAGGATGAAACAAATCGAAAATACTGAAAAAGACTATTTGTGCTTCCTATGATTAAGAATGGCTGGTTGTTTGCATTACCTCTTTCTCAACTGCTAAAACAATCTTTAGATGTTACTAAGTTAACCAGCAATTTCATCCCTTTACTCGCTTTCTCTAGGAGATTGCTAGTGTTTCTGAAGGAGGTCACATAAAACTGAGTGGCAGCTGCAGTATCCAGACCTTGGGTAAGCCGCAGAAGCACGGCATCTTTGCCCGGCCACAGAATTAAAACAGGGATACAAGTAGGCTACGTATTGAAACACAGCAGGATTACTTTATCTCTCAGAAGACAGATCTTTCTGCATCAGTTGCCTTACATCATCCAAATGATTTTTTGATCTCCTGCAGGCACAGGAACCATTTTTCACAAGGAAATTCCCACTGCTTTTCATTGGCTATGACTGAACAAAAATCCTACTAGCCGCCCAAAGTATGACCAACATAAGAGCAGTATTTTAGTAAACATTTAGAACAGCATGCATGACAGACTTGTGCTGTTTTCAGGATAAGGTGCCTTTAACTATACTGACAGTGACCAATCCTGAAAGGAACTCCTCAAAATTTTACAGCAGTTATTCTACAAAGTTGTCCGAGTTTTGATAAACTCACAATTTGTCCTACAAAAAGGAAAAATGACAAAAGAACAAGAAGGTAATATGACTGGGAGCTGGAGACAGTCAAGCATCTTGTGCTCTGCATCATGCAACCATATATATTAACATTACTTACTTTTCCTACTTCCCAATGATAAAAGAATAAATACAAATATAACTTATAATTTGTTAACTAGTAGCTGCTTTTGACTTGCTTCATGTTCACCAGCACCTACAAAGACATTCCTCACATACCTTTTTCCTTTCTTGAAGTGGCAACTGTACTTAGGATAATCGTAGAGCTCAGTCATTCGTTCTTTGAACAGTCCTCTGACAGGACACTGCTCGAGGAAGGGCACTGTGAGCTTGTTCTGAGCCTCCACAAATGCCTGAAAAAAAACAATGCCCCCCAAAAATAAATAGACTGAAGCAGAAACACGTATTTCCTACAGAAAACACTATTTTCTGAAGCAATGCATCACAGACTTCTTTCCCCTCACATAGGTTGTGTAGAGTCACAATACGTATTTGCACTATGCCACAACACTGTAAGAAGACTGACCTTATATCTTGAATAATGTCTCTCCAGGGCACACACTGGGGTAACCAGTGGTTTGGCCAAAGACAAGCCAGATTCCTGCCATTTGCCTTCAAAAAAAATCCCAAACCTCATGCTTTTAAAAACTCTCCTTGTATTTGCCTAAATGGCACAGAAAAGCTAACTTATTGGTATATACACAGGAAATAGCATCTTCCCTTACTTCACCACAACTATATGACACTCCAATACTCTATGATAAATAAATTAGGAAATGGATAAAGAACAGAGTTGCTTTTGCCCACAGACAGAACTATCATTTCAGGAGCTGTGAATGGCTGGAAGATGATACAAAACCTCACGTGCACTATCTGCGCATCCTATTAACAAAATGCACAGGATTAGTCCCAGCCAGTAGTTCTTGGAGAGGCTAAAGTACTGTTCACAGATCAGTTCTTAGTTACTCAAGGCAACAATACCTAATCCCCGAGAACTGTGAGGAGTCTGGTTTCTTTAAAACACTCCATCTCCCAGTCACAAACACTTAAAAGACAGCGGCCCAAACCATTACCACTCCAGCTGTTTGTTAAAGGCTGTCACTCCCAGGGCACGCATGGAAAACCTGGTGCTCTGTTGGCGTTTCACCATCCCTATTGAGATCACAGTACATTAACATAAAATTAATACCTAAGCGTCTTAAGGTGAACCACAGCTGCTAAGAAGTAGACTTGCAGGCTCTTCTGTGTCTAGCATGGAGTAGAAAAGACAAGACACTGTGTGTGGCTGTAATTCATGGCCAGACATCGCAACGATGGCTGCAGCATCACTCTCGGACCCCAGGCTCTCACCTACAGCCTGAAACCCCGTCCACCCATCTCTTGCTTACACAGGTCTCTTCACCAGCTGCTCTGAAAGAGGCTATTGTTTCTACCTGTCCTGAATCTGTCACACAGCAAGCAGATCGCTGCATGATTAACATCTGAGACACACTTCACCACAGGGCATGACCCACAGAAGCAGCGGGGCTACAATCCATATTCCACAACTTGTGTTTCATAGTTCTTCAGAAAAGCCAGCTGCTGTACAGAGTACCTGGCACACACTTACCAACTGCTATCAATGTTTACTCATTTATTTACTCTTCAGGTGAAAAAGAGGGAAGAACAACATAAAACTCTTTCAGTAGCATTTTACAGACATCGCACATGGTGAGAAGTGCGCAGAGAGACACTCTCCCTTTCATTTGCCTTGCTGCCACAGCAGTGCATAGCCAAGAGCTGCACTACATGCCAGGCTGTGTTTCCAGAGACTTGTCAGGCCAAAAGGTAAAGGAGAAAGCGCATTAATTACGGTCAGTCTCCACTTGAGAGGTATTTGTTCATGCCTAATAAAGCATACAAAAACTGATAAGCTTTAAACATGTGAGCGCTGAATTAGCAATACCCTAAGAGCACTTGGCTAAGTGCTGAAACTCACTGGTTTAAGAACACACGTGCTGGTTACACACAAGTCACCCCTCAAGGATGGCACAAGAAAGCAAGCACTACAGCACTGAAAAGGAACAGATACAGAAGGCTAACAACGATGACTTCTGCACCTTTACTCAAAATCAGACTCTATGTATCAGCAAGCATTGAGTCAGGAAATGATCCCCTGAGAAAAAGGAAAGAGGTGAATGCATTGCCAAGCGAAAACATGTTTTTGCTTCTGTCCTCCCTTTGAGAATCACACTGGCATAGAGAGCTTTAACCGCCAGCACGGCAGCACAGCACATCCCAGTGGTAAACCAAAACAATATGCAGCTCCACACTGTACTGCTATAACCATCCCCCCTCCATCAGATGATGAAAGAACTCAATCAAATCTACCCAAGAATTATGTGTATCTGATTTTTTTTTCTCTGAATGAAATCCATGTGTTTCCAAAGACCACATACACAAAAATCTAGACAGTGCAAGCTACACAAACAAACTGCTCAAAGTGCTGTGACGTTTTCAGACAAAAGATGTCTTATAAAATCATGTATAAAACCATCCACTGTACTGGATGGGCAGAAGCACTTTTCAGTTGCATACAGTGGACAAAAACTGTCACACATCTTTGTTTCATCCACCAATACCATGACCAAAATGGTAACATTGCTGCAAGGATATACTGGAACTGTGTGTTACTCACTTTTAACCGCACAGTCGCATCTTACTACATCTGCTTTAATTACTGGTATTCAGAGAAGAGACACAAACTTTTCTTTACAAGCATCCATTGCACAAGAGTGTGCTTACATACTAACTATTGGACTCACAACTGAATCACTAGTAATTCTGCTTTTACAGAAACTTAATATATTTTTCCCGTTTCCACTTACTACACACCAAAGGTTCCAAGACTATTTGTAACAGGGAATGTCATTGCTATCTAAAAAAGTAAGTAAGAACTGCAGGCTTTTGAAGGAGTTCCACCAAGAACAACCCAGCCCAGTTTGGAAACTCTCTGGTCTTATGCTTTGAGCATGAGGTTACACTCATGTTCAAAAAGCAATACATAATTGAAATATTGCTCTAGGTAAAGTACAGCAACAGATGTTGTCAGCAGAACCTCTCACAGTAAACAACTCCATCCACCACGCTGGGTTAAAGAGATGCCACCCAGGCTACAGGGCTAACAGTAACTTTCTATGCATCTTCATGAGCCTACAGAGAAAGGTTCATATTTCACCTGCAGAAATCTCCATCTGAAGATCTACCATAAGCCTTGAACAAGGACAGAATTTGCTAGCAGAAGAAAGCACAGAATAAGGGTCCAAGTAAGGTGCATGCTTATGGATGTCTCAGAAAATAAGGTAATTTGAAAAGCAAAGGAATTTCTAAAATGTTGTATTAAAAGTAGGGATGTTCTACTCAAGGCTAAATTGTTTGGCCATTACATGAACAGGCCAACTGTTCTTTAAAAAAAAAAAGTCTAAATATCATTTACAAAATACATGCCACAAAGCTTTTGAACCATGCTTTGTTACAACCTATCACCTTTATACATGCCACTAAGCTATTCTCTAGACCAGATAATGATTTACACCCACAGTACAGTTTCCAAGGAGATGTCTTAGGATAGAAATAGTTTAAACATTACCAGTCTTTTTTATTAATCCATGAAGTATTTACAGTTTGTTTAATAGTGACCCCCCAAATCTTCACATATATCTTCTCAGTAAAAGGTAGTTCAGTGCAACTCTTACAAGAGGGCACATATCTTTTTTTTTAAGTATCACAAAATAAAACTAAGCAGATATCTGCTGGCTTGCCTCTTAGCATTTACTTCAGTATCTAGCAAAGAAAAATTCTAAGTGCAATTGGAAATTTATCAAAACATGCGAATAAAACACTGGTCAATTATAACCACAAATCCATTTAATTGGAGTCGTGAGAGTTTCAACTCTAGTCTTAATCCAAACATACACCTGCTCATAATACCACAACTCAACCATGTACGTTACACAATCCCTGCTCTTTCATCCCTTCTCCATCCCTCACGCCTGAAACCAGCTACGCACTACTGCCTACGCTGTCAGTGAGTGAAGGTACTGTGTATGACTGGCATACGTAAAGCAGCAAAAGACTTTGCTGTAGTCTAAAAAAGAGCTTATTTCCCACAAGTGTAAAAACAAACGAAGAAGTTGGAAAGTCCAACCAAGCCAAACCCAAGACAACAGTATGAGTGCGGTTTTGCAGTTGTGACCTATGTCATCATCAGAAGTGTTTCACTAGTGTAGCATAACATTTAAACTATGCCAGGGATGCTTCCACAGTCTGTCTTAAAGGTTAATGGCCAAACAGTAGCAGAGCACGAACCCAGCTTCTGCACTCTCCAAAGTGAGGTAGGAACTTCCTCATCTAACCAGGGGGTCAGTTTTTATCTATGTATCTGGAAAATGGAGTTTTGTTTGCTTATTGCTGCACTTGACTACTCCAACCAAGCACACACTGGGAAAAGAGTGATACAGTAAAACACGTAGATCATGAATATGGAAGCACATACTTCTTGAACGACAGCTTCACCACAAGAGACTGAGGATGTGGCTTGATGACTGGCTTAATCAGCTCTAAGACTGCGCCTCTGACAGGAAACAGTCCTGCTTAGCCACCTGCAGATTTTGCCTCCATTCTATAGCAGACATATACACTGCATATGGAATAAGATCATTTTGGCAACCTGGGTGAAAAGTTTCTAGACCTATTTGACTCTCATCTAATTAAAAGTAGGCTGTGGGCTGCTAGGAAAAGAAAGATCCCACTCTTGAACCATCTTAGATCCAACTATCATGTGGCCTTGGGGTGACCTAGATTAAGCATGTGTGCCAACAGAAAACTAATCCACCAAAGCCTTGTGATAGCTATACCCATGCAAGGGAGGGACAGAAAAATTCAGGTCAGTGCAAGGAGGAGGAGGGCAGAGAAACCACAGAACCACCTGACTTAACTGAAACATGAAAACTACGGTGGATCAGGTACAGTACCATCTGCACTCTACTCTCACTGCAGAAATATCTGATCAAACCAATTACAAAAAAAACCCCACCCTTCTACGTTCACTTGTTCGTAACCTGCTAACTATCAGAGCCCAGAAAAGTCATTTGGACTAGTCACAGGAAAAATGAGTACGATTCTTCATCCTCATAGCTGTTGCGAATAATTTCTTTCAGTCCCAGTCCTGCGAACCCTACAGTGGACAGCAGGTGAAACTACTATGAAAATTCCAGAGTTAAAACCAATCTCACTTGCCTGATCTTCTTCCTCCATGCTTCAAGAAATAGTAAACTTGATGTTTCACTGACTCAACAAAATGAGGCCTACTGATTTATTTTCTATGACCACATGAATGCTTGACATGACCATTTCTGTGAAGTCTAGAAAAGCAGAATTCGAGCATATTTGTGTATCTATTCAACAGTACACACCAAATAATTTTGACTGTTTGTGTGCGAGAAAAGATTTCTAAATTAATAAATGATATTCAGTCTTCACTCTTGGCACAAACCAGAACTTCCACTGTTACACACACTCACATCAAGCAAGTATGTTGTAAACAGCCACCTAATAGGGGGCTCTTTCACTACAGATAAGCACGTTCTTAATATGTACAAAACTGAAGGTAGCCTGTTGTTGCAGGTGTACACAGGATATTTTTACTTTTCCCCCAAACAAATGGAGGTTTGGGACATTAAGGAACGCATAAAGAGAGTGAGTGACTTGGAGGAAGATTGGGAAGGACGCAGATCTCAAGGTCAGTGACTTGAAGGCTTGAAAAATCTACAAAGCACGATCCAAATTCTCTCTGAAGCCTGCACAGTCATTCAATTACCTCTATACCAGTGTCTGGTTATTCTTTGATCTGGTAGATGCAGAATAGCTATTCTGCAGGAGTCCTACAAACTATTTCTAGAACTTGGAGACAAAACTATTAAGAAAAGCTGGCAAGAAAGAGTGGCCATCAGCAACCTCTGCTACAGAGCACAGAGGAGTGAGTAACATAACAGATGAAAGGAGTTCAGCACTTAAAGACTACTTTTTTTCTGACCTCTTCTATGAAAGAGGTAGAACAGCAAAATACTTTAATTCCCTTCATTCAGTAACTCCTGGAACATCAGAAAAAGATGATATACTCACATATTTATACACACAGGAACTCCCTCCACTCTTTGCATCGTACTACTACTGCACTGCAAAATTCTGCCAAAGCATGTGTTTTTTAGAGTGTAGGCAAGTAAGATTTAACAGTATTTTCATTCCACCACTGTGACATCTTGTGTCTAGGCTGCTGCATTTTTATGAGGAAGTTACAATACCCCACTCCTTATTTTGCCTCCTATATAAACTACAACCTCTGGAGAATAAGATTCACTCTCCTCCAACTATTCTTATTCAACCTGTTCACAGTATGCGGCGAGAGTATTGAACACAGGCACACAAAAATTCAGGGCTTGGCACTTTCTCAATCCCAACTCTTCCACAGGATCCCAAAAACCACATTAATTGGCATTAGTAAGGCTTCTATAAAATAAAGATATAACCATACCTCCCCACACATATATCCCTCTGAATTTGGCTTGAAACTATCCTATGTATACCATTTCTTAAGGATGCCAGAATCAAAAAATCAAAATATTCCCAACTTACTAAATATCTAATCTTCAATGTTAATGTCCAGAGCAGAGTTTTTCACTAAAACCTGATCCCAAATTAACCTTTTTAACCCACATAAGCCTTTATATATGCTGACAGATTTGTAAGTAGGGAATGGGACCCTAACAGTACAGATTTTATATTGCTCTTGACAGTTACAGTTAAGTTCTATTTGACCATCCTCTAGCTCAGCAAGATGTATCATATGAGCAGATGCACAAGTGAACCTAGACGGAATCTCACTTATGAGAAGTCACCCTGCAGGATATTTTTGAATGGAGATCCTGCCCTCCATCATCTTTCTGACACAGACATGCATACTACATACACGCCAGTGTTTTAGATCTGGAACTACAGTTATCACAAAGTTATTAGCCATCACAAGGGAAACCCTCTACACACTGCCACCTGCCACCTTCTGGCCATCACGCCTGCAACTCCCTATGCCATGAGTATCAGAGGAACTAGCTCACAGACATACTTCACTATAATTTTTCAGGATTCCTTCTCAGTGAAAGATCAGTTCCAGCAGCAAAGTCTAGCTATATCAGACTGCGTACTGAAAAGATTGCAACATCTGCAATCCGTAATAAAAGCCACTAACAAAGCCTAACACTTTGTCACTGTATAAAGAAAGCAAGCCAAAGGAGTTTTCTTTCTACTCTTTATTTTATTATAGCAATTTTAGATGTACTTAGGACAGTGGATAAAGCCCTATAAAATCAGAGTGTTTCTCTTCAGTGTGACAACACCTCCCTGAGCATTCGAATTGTCTAAGAAAAATGAGTGCAAGATAAACAGGGCCTCAGTTTTCAAATTCTGTGATCTAGGTTATACCAAGTGTTCCAGTCTCTCCCCCATTAACATAAAACAATGGCATTGCTGATGGCACTGTACGATGTCATGCAAACTACACCTACATTCACTATCTAAGTTTTTGAAAAGTACTGGCAGGTCCTTCAAAAACAGAGTACCTACACACCTAGTCTGCAAAAGAGAACCATGTCAAAAAAGCCATTCCCGTACACAGAAAGTTTACCTTTGTCTGTTCACTATCAGGATCTTCAAGCCAGCAGTATGGGTCACTTATTTTACATCCATGGTAATCCAACACCTGAAATTATAAAAGACAATACTTTAAAAAAAGGCATGCACACAAACAAGCTATTAATCAAGGAATGACAGTCATCAAGATGAAGGGCATTTGGAATTTCACAAAAGCGTACAGTGCTAAGAAGCAAAGGAAGAGAAAAGCAGCACTTGCTCCCAGGTGAGTCGCTAATATTACCATTCTTTGCTGACGGCCCCCAGGCAGCAGAGTTGTCCTCGGAAAAAACACAAGAGCACCAGAGAAATGCGGAACTCGAACATAAATTCCTTCCACACGATAGATTAGTAAAACAATTTTAAAAACCCTCTAAAACATTAAATAACCCCAGACCTCCTTCAAATCCAGGTGTTCAAGTCAAATCACAAAACCCGATTACTGGATGTAGTACCCAAACTGTAGTTTCTGGTTATGCAACTGTGTCTGGTTTAGCTCTCCCTACTATTGCTGCTCACAAACGTGTGAGCAAAGTACATATATAAATTAAAAAAACAAAACAAACACACACAAAAGAGTAACCCACGTGGCTGAAGAGATCTGCTTCCTTCCTCCTGCACACAAAGCGAGACTAGATGCCTGCTGTTAGGCGTTGCATAGTTCAGCCTTTCACCCAACTAGGAAGGTAAATCCTGAAGTGCTTCCCGGTGCGGGCTCACGCCAGCAAGCGTTTTGGTTTAAAAGCGAAGCGGTTCCGTAACTCTGCTCCCGCAGCCCCGTCCTTCGCGGAAGGAGCAGAACGCCCAACCCGCTCCAGCCGCACGGGCAGAGCCACCCTGGCGCACCGAGTTACGGTCGGAACACGAGGCGGCAGATTACCTCACGGATGTGCCACCACGGAGAAACAGCGCGCTCGTCCCTCCGCGCCCCGCTGCGGCCCAGGGCAGGGCCC